CGCTCTTCCAGTTTCAGCTCCTGGAGTGCTTTTCGATCCTGCTGTTTTCTCTCCTGAACTGTCTCACCACAGTACTTCTGAAGTGCCATCAACAGGCTTCCTATAGGGGTGCTGAGGGGGAGGCAGAGGGAATGCTTAGGAGAAATAGCTGTTAACCACGCGAAACATGAGTGTCTCTGCTAAGGCGCGAGCAGCACCAAACGAGCCACTTGCTCACTGACAGGTACAGGAACATTTGATAATTAAAGTGTCCTTGTCAAATAAAAAAATATTAAGATAATTTCCTTCCTGGTCTGAACAATAGGAAAAACAATCATTGCAACTTCCTAAATTTAACTGGTATAAAAAAACAGGTCTATAAATTGGCTCTGATTTTCATCATGAATGATAAATAAACCGGGAAAAAATATATTTATGACAAGTTCTAGTAAATAGCTTTATACTGAAGGTTTCTCAGAAATGAAATTAATACCAGGAATGGTGCCAGAGCCCCTTAAGGGACAAGAAATGTGAAGGGTATTGAGGGAAGGATGCTACTGGCTTTTGGGGCTGAAACTGCCAAAACATCCTAAAATTCAAGAGTCTGGCACAACTGTCTCACCCAGAATGCCAACAGTTACCCATTGAGAAACTGATTTAGATAATAATTATTACAGTAATGAAGAGGGTTTGGTTCATGTTTTCAAGGAGAAGGAGTTTTTGACTCTGACACAACTTAAATTCCTTCCCAACTTAAGTTGTAACCACATTTTAAAAATTATTTTTGCTAGGTGGAAATGTTCATTCATGATGAATGAATAAAGAAAATGTGGTACTGTATATACAATGGAATATTATGCAGTCCAAAAAGGAAGATCCTGTCAAATGCTGCAACATGGATAAACCTTCAGGACATTATGCTAAGCGAAACAGGCCAGTTACAAAAGGAAAAATATTGTATGATTCCACTAATAAGAAGCACCTAGAGTAGTCAAAATCACAGAAACAGAAAGTAGAAAGGTGGTTGCCAGAGGCTGTGGGGTGGGAGAAGGGAGAATTAGTGTTTAATGGGTACAGAGTTTCAGTTTTGCAAGATGGAAAAGTTCTAGAGATCTGTTGCACAACAATGTGAATACAGTTAACACTACTGAACTGTACACTTAAAAGTGGTTAAGATGGTAATTTTTATGTTATGTGTTTTTTTACCTCAATAAAAAAATACTTTTGTGGCTAATTTCAGCAATTTTTCCCTTCAAACCAAGCTGGTATATTAACAATACAACAAAAACATCAGCAACAGATTATAATATGTTGAATTTTAAAAGTTTTTTTAATTAAAAAATAAAAAGAAGCCATAAAGTTACAGTGTTTCCTCCCCAAAGGGGGGTAGAAAAAGGGAGGGTAAGGGAGAAATAACTCTTCTATTCAGATAAATGCCAACTAATAAAAACAGAAGAAATGACAGAACTAGCACATCAACATTTTACAACTTTTACAATAACTGATTACATTAGGGATCATCAATGGATCATTGAAACCACTAGAAGAAAGACATCTGGAGAACGGGCTATTTACACGGTCTCACCCCACAGATTCCTTATTAAGCACAATGGCAAAAAGATACCCTTGCAGTGGAGAAATTTAGTAGATACCAAATGTGGCAGGCAGAAGTCTAAAATAGCCCCCCAAAATTTCCTGCCCTAATTTTTCAACTATGAATAAATGATGAAATATTATGCCCATGATTAAATTGTTACATGGCAAAATGGATTTTACAGATGTAATTAAGGTTACTGATCAGTTGAATTTGAGTTAATCAAAAAAGAGATTATCTGGGTGAACCCTCTGCAAGGAGAGAGTTTTTTCCAGTTGGTGGCAGAACGGAAGTCAGAGAGATTAAAAGTCTGAGAAGGATTCAACATGCTGGTTGCTGCTTTGAACATGGAGGGGGCACGTGAGAAGGAATGTGGATGTCTCTAGGAACAAGGTGGTGGCTGCCAGCCAGCCAGCCAGCCAGGAAACGGGGACTTCAGGCCTACAGCCACAGGGTTCTGTCAACAACCTGAATTTTATAGAAACACATTCTTCCCACAGAGCCTCCAGGTAAGAACCTGCCTGGCCAACACTTTGATTTTGGCCTTCTGAAATACTAAGCAGAGAACCCATCTGAGCCTACCCAGACTTCTGACCTACAGAAAAGTGATATTGGGTTGGCCAAAAAGTTCGTTTGCATTTTTCTGTAAGATGTTATGGAAAAACCTGAACAAACTTTTTGACCAACCCCATATAATAAATGCGTGGTATTTAAAGCTTCTGAGTTTGTAGTGATTTGTTACACAGCAACAGAAAACTAATACACCAGGTTAACATCACTTACAATGGGTGACATAATATGTCTCTTGATGTGATACACTGAGAAGGACACAACCTCACCTATGTTGTATTCTTGGTGAAAACATTAAACCTAAATCTAATCATGAGGGGATAATCAAACAAAATTGAGAAATATTCTGGGAGAAAAAAGGCAGTGGAACTGTTTTAGCTTAAAGGAATCTAAAGAGACATAACAACGAAATGCAACAATTAGATCCTGGATTTTAAAAAATTATATATATATGGCATTATTGTAATAACTGAGGAATTTTGAATATGGACCCTATCTTAAATAGTATTCAATCAATCAATGCTAAATTATTTATTGTGATAACTGTACTGTGATATCATTGGAGAATGTTCTTCATCCTGGGAAATACATGCTGATGTATTTAGGGCTTAAGAATTATGAGGTCTAAAATACTTTAAATGGTTTAACCAAAAGAAAAAAATAGAAAAGGAAATATACACATGTCCCACACATAAACAGAGAGGTAGAAAACAAATATGGAAAAATGTTAACAACTGGTGAATCTGAGTAAAGGGTCATATGGGTGTTCAATGTTCAATTCACTCATGTTTTCTACAGGTTTGAAATGTTTCAAAGTAAAAAGTTGGAGAAGATAATTCTTAACGTTTATTAAACTATACAAACAAAATCTAACCCCAAATTTTTTATAGAATGTGCTCGTTAACTGTTTCTTATTCCTTTTTCCTGCTACTTATGAGTACCTTTGCTCAAACCTCAAATAGTTTCAGGTGTTAGAGATATTTAAACAGTTTTTATCCGGTGAAGACTAGAAGTAAAATCAACAACTGGGGTACAATCAGAATTGGACAGTCAAAGGTACTGCTAATACAAGACTAGAGACCTTTTATAGGCTCTAAGTATTAAATTTGTTCTTTAGAAATGATTGCAATTTTTAACAGAGAAGGCATTAATGAAATTATATTAATTTAGAATCAAACCATGTTAACACTTACCCCAGCAAGGCTCCAATTATGCCACCAGCTACCAAGCCATGCAGGCCTAAGTTTATTCTAAAAAGACTTCCACTGATAGCTATTTTAAAAGAAACAAACAAAGGGCAATATTAAATCATCTTTAAACACCAGAGTTCCATTTAAAAATGTTCCTCCATAAGAAGGACATAAATCTCCAAGTAAGCTTTTTGAACCCAACATTAATATACCACCACAACCTAGATTTCCTGAATCTAAAATGCCAATACAACCAGCTTCTCATCCACTCTGCAGGTTCAAATGAAGAAACGTTCCTTTTACAAACAGAATTGCTCAGTCGGTTCTATGGACCCAGCCTCTTCTCATTATGCTTCATTTTTGCCAACCTCGCCTTAAAAATCTGTTATTTCTTCACTTCCACCTCTTTCATTTGTTCCTTCTTTAAGGAAAGTTTTCCCCAAATAAATAACAAAACCTTCACTAGAGCCTGCAGTTCATGTCCTCCCCCAGCCTCACCTTTCTGTACTGCTATACGCTACACCTCGCAAGCAGGCCTGCAAGTGGGCAGCTGGCCTACAACGCCACCTGGTGGCCAGGGCATAGGTCCTCTTTCCTTCCCACTAAGACTGTACACCCAAGATGTCCATTCATTTTCCTTTCACTACGTACAACACAACGAATGACACTTCAGGTGGTAACAATTTTAAAATTAACATTTGAGGTTTATAGTTCTTATTTAAGTACTACATATTCATTGTTTTAACTTTTCTAAATTTAAAAAAATTTTTCAAGTGATGATATGAAGTTGTTTGTAATATCCTATTATTATTATTATTTTATAGACTATGCATTTAGAGCATCCAGCATACCCAGTTATCCAATTCTTTAACTTTTTTTTTTTTTTAATATTTTGGCTGTGCTGCGCAGCATGTGGGATCATAGTTCCCCAACCAGGGATCAAAACCCACGCCCCCTACGTTGGAAGTGCGGAGTCTTAACTACTGGACCGCCAGAGAAGTCCCCGTCTTTTCTAAATTTTTAAATTAACAAGAACAAAAATCACCTTTAATTCCATTATCCAGAGACAGCAAAAAATTTGGTCTTTTTTTCTAGGCTTCTTTTCCAAATAAAATATTTTTTAAAAAACTATTAGAATAGCCAAACTCTGGAACACTGACAACATCAAATGCTGGTGAGGATATGAAGCAATAGAAACTTGCATTCATTCCTGGTGGGAATGCAGAATGGTAATGTTACTTTGTAAGACTGGTAGTTTCTTATAAAACTAACACACTCTTACTATACCATCCAGCAATGACACAAGAGTTGAAAACTTTTGTCTACAAATACCTGCACACAGGTGTCTATAACAACTGTGTTCATAATCATCAAAACATGGAAGCAACCAAGATGTCCTCAACAGGTGATGGAAAAATAAACTGTCGTACATCCAGACAATAGAACATTTTTCAGCGCTAAATAGAAATGAGCTATCAACTGCTAAATAGAAATGAGCTATCAACTCATGAAAAGACATGGAGGAATCTTAAATGCATATTATTAAATAAAAGAAGCCAATCCGAAAAAGCTACATATTGTATGATTCCAACTATACAACATTTTGGAAAAGGCAAAACTATGGAAATAGTTAAAAAGATCAATGGTTGCCAGGGATTGAGGGTGGAGCATGGGGATCAATAGGCAGAGCACAGATTTTTAGGGGGGAAAATACTTTTTATGATACCATAATGGTGGACATATGTCATTATACATTTCCCCAACCCCATAGAATGTAAAACACCAAGTGTGAACCCTAAGGTAAACAGGACTTTGGGTGATGATGTATCAATTTAGGTTCTTCAATTGTAACAAATGTACCACTCTGGTGTGGGATGTTAATAGCCGGAGAGACTATGTGTATGCAGCAGGGAGGAAGTATATGGCAAATCTTTTATCTTCTGCCCAATTTTGCTGTGAACCTAAACTGCTCTAAAAAACTTTATTAAAAAGGGGGTCAGGGGCTTCCCTCGTGGCGCAGTGGTTGAGAATCTGCCTGCCAATGCAGGGGAGGTTCGAGCCTAAATAGAAATGAGCTATCAACTCATGAAAAGACATGGAGGAATCTTAAATGCATATTATTAAATAAAAGAAGCCAATCCGAAAAAGCTACATATTGTATGATTCCAACTATACAACATTTTGGAAAAGGCAAAACTATGGAAATAGTTAAAAAGATCAATGGTTGCCAGGGATTGAGGGTGGAGCATGGGGATCAATAGGCAGAGCACAGATTTTTAGGGGGGAAAATACTTTTTATGATACCATAATGGTGGACATATGTCATTATACATTTCCCCAACCCCATAGAATGTAAAACACCAAGTGTGAACCCTAAGGTAAACAGGACTTTGGGTGATGATGTATCAATTTAGGTTCTTCAATTGTAACAAATGTACCACTCTGGTGTGGGATGTTAATAGCCGGAGAGACTATGTGTATGCAGCAGGGAGGAAGTATATGGCAAATCTTTTATCTTCTGCCCAATTTTGCTGTGAACCTAAACTGCTCTAAAAAACTTTATTAAAAAGGGGGTCAGGGGCTTCCCTCGTGGCGCAGTGGTTGAGAATCTGCCTGCCAATGCAGGGGACACAGGTTCGAGCTCTGGTCTGAGAAGATACTACATGCCTCGGAGCAACTAAGCCTGTGCACCACAACTACTGAGCCTGCATTCTAGAGCCCGTGAGCCACAACTACTGACCCCAGACACCAAGAGCCCGTGCTCCGCAAAAGAGAAGCCACAATGAGAAGCCCACGCACTGCAATGAAGAGTAGCCCCTGCTTGCCACAACCAGAGAAAGCCTGCGTGCAGCAACGAAGGCTCAACGCAGCCAAAAATAAATAAATAAATTTATTTAAAAAGGGGGTGGTGGAGGACAAGTGGTGGGGTTTACAAGCTGCTAGAAGCCAAACATAAAAAATGGAGTCACACTCTTTGTTACACAGGACCATATTTCTGTGAACAGTCTTTTTCAATCTGGATGTTTTTTATTTCTTTTTCTTGCCTGAATGCACTGGCTAAAGTCTCCAGTGCAATGCTAAATACAAGTGTATTCATCTACTTGTCTTGTTCTCAATCTTAAGGAAATCATTCAGTCTTTCACCATTAAATATGATGTTAGCTGTTGTTCATAGATAATCTTTATCAAGTTAAAGAAAGTCCCTTTTAATCCTAGTTTGTTGAGTTTTTATCATGAATGTTGGACTTTTGTCAAATGCGTTTTCAAACTAACCTTGAATTCCTTAAATAAGTTCCACTTGGTCATGGTGTATAATCTTTATTCGTTGCTGGATTTGGTTACTAATATTTTGTTAAGGGTTTTTGTGTATATACTCTTGAGGGATAGTGATCTGTAGTTTAGTTGTCTACTTCATCTGGCTTTGGTATTAGGATAATATTAATAGCCAGGGAAGCCATCTGGTCCTGGACTTTTCGTTGAGAAAAGATTTTAATTAAATATTTAGTTTATCAATTTGTTATAGGGCTATAGGGATTTTCTATTTCTTCTTCAGCAAATTTTGGTAATTTGTATCCCCCACCCCCACCCCGTGGTCAGTCTTGCTAAAGGATTGTCTATTTTGTTGCTCTTTTCAAAGAACCAACTTCTGGTTTCATTGATTTTTCTCTTGATTTCATTGAGTGTCATTCTAATTCTATTATTTCCTTCTGCCTGCTTACTTTAGGTTTATTTTGCTCTTCATTTTCTAGTTTTTAAAGGTGGAAGCTTATTCATATGAGATCTTTCTTATTTTAATTTGACTACACCTCATAATTTTTTTTTTTTTTCCCACACTGTGGCACGTGAGATCTTAAGTTCCCTGACCAGGGATCGAATCTGCACCCCCTGCATTGGATGTGCGGAGTCTTAACCACTGGACCACCAAGGAAGTCCCTGCACCTCATAAATTTTAATATAATGTGCTTTCATTTTCATTCAGCTCAAAATATTTTAAATTTACCTTGTGATTACTCTTCGGTTTATGGTTTACTTATGAAGTGTTATTTAATTTCCAAATATTTGTGATTTTCCCCCAATTTCTTTTTAGTTTAATTCCATTGAGGAGAACATACTTTGTGAGATTTCAATCCTTTTAAATTTATTGAGACTTGTTTTATAGGCTTGCATATGGTCTAGCTTAGAGAATGTCCCCTGTGCACTTGAAAAGAATGAAAATTCTGCTATTGCTGGGCGGAGTGTTCTAGAGATGTTACTGTGTCACGTAGATAGATAAGTGTTCACGTCTTCTATATCCTTGTTGATTTTCCCTCTAGTTGTTCTATCCATTATTAAAAGTGGAGTATTAAAGTCTCCAGCAACTGATGGAGTTGTCTATTTCTCCTCTCAATTCAAAGTGTTTGCTTCATGTATTTTGGAGCTCTGTTGTTAGATGCGTATGTTTCTAAATGTTGTATCTTCTTGGTGGATTGTCCCTTTTAACATTATAAAATGTCCTTCTTTGTCTTCTAGCACTTTTGTCTTAAAGTCTATTTTGCCTGATACTAGTATAGTCACTCAAGCTCTTTTTCTTACTGTTTGCACAGTATATCTTTGTCTATCTTTTTATGTTCAACTAATTTGTTCCTTTAAACCTAAAGTATGTCTCTTGCAGACAGCATATAGTTGGATCCTTTTTAAAATACAGTTGGACAATCCCTACTGATTGGAATGTTTAATCCATTCATGTTTTAATGTTTTTATTGATATGGTTAGATTTAGATCTGCCATTTTGCTATTTGTTTTCTATATTATCTAATTCCTTTTTGACCTTGTTACTATTTTTTAAAGTTACTATTTTATTATTTGCTTTAGGGATTATAATCTTATCACAGTCTACTTCAGATCAGTACTAATTCCAGTAAAATGTAGAAACACTGTTCTAATACAGCTTCACCCCTCTCCCTTCTTTGTGCTATTATTGTCATTTACATTACGCATATGTTTAAAAACAACAATACAATGTTATTATTATTATTTTACACAACCATATGTATTTTAATGACATTAAGGGTAAAAACAGTTAAGAAAAGAAAGTGGAAACAAT